AAAAACACTGTCTCTTGTTCCCTCCCTCCCTTCCTACCTCTACCTCCCTACCTACCTGCCTTTCACTAAGATGTGTCAAGTGCTTACTCTGAGCTCATAATGTGTCAATGTGAAGGATACAGCAGGGAACAAGAGACAGTGTTTTTCTCTCATTGAGCTTACAGGCAATAAATGATGCTAAAGTAGGCAGACTTCCAGATGGTGGTACAAAGGCCCTGAGGAGGCACAGAGCATGGATCGGGGGGGGGGTGGCTGTTCGTTTCAATGGGATGGGCAGGGAAGCACTCACTAATAAGGTATCAACAATGATTTGAGCAAGGCGAGGGAGTGGCCACGTGGCCATCTGGGGCAGGGGAGCAGCCAGTGCCATCAGCCCTGAGACAGGAGTGGCCTGGAGCATTCTGTCAGCACAAGGGGGCTGATCTGGCCAGAGTGAGTGGGAGAGTGGGAGGCTCGTGGAGGATGGCAGGAGTGGGACAGATTAGGTGGGTTGTACTGAGTAAAGTTTGTGACATGCTTCGAGTGGGACAAAAAGCCATAGGGGTGTGTCGGCACCGTAGTGACATGATCTGGTTTATGTTTTGAAGAACGTTTTTCCTCCCAGATGATCATTGTGTAAGCAACTTTCCAGATCTGGAATGAGGAGCCAGTGTTCGAAGAACTGAGACATGGTTAAATCCCGGACAGACTTGTCACATGGGGGTGGCCTCAGCAGGGGGCAGCGAGGGGACTCTGGAATCCTGCCTGCTGGCCCCACATCCTCGCTGCAGTCACCCAGCAGGTGTGGTGCCCAGGTGGGCCTTGGCACCTGTCTGGAGGACTTGTTAACCCCAGGGCCAGGGCCCTGGGCCCCTTCCGCTACCTGTATTTCTAACAGGTTCCCAGATGATACTGATGCTGTGGTCTGGGCACCCCATTTTGATAACCCCTGCCCCTATTCATCCTGGCCTGGCTTGACCACCCCTGCTCTGATCTGAACTAGGACCTGGACCTTAACACCCAGCCCTTTCCCAGCCTCTCCCTCACCCAGGCACAGAACCGCATGCTACTAGAGAACTCGGGGTGGCCAGGGAAGAGATGGGCAGGGAGAAGGCCCTCAAATCAGAGGTTTTTGTGTTCCCTCGTTAGCAGTACCTCTTAGGGACATGCCTGAACTGGTCCAGGGCCTGACCCGGCTGCCTGAGGGCTTGCTCTCTGCTCCTCAACCTGTGGGGCTTGGGCTTCCAACCCCAGGCGGACCCTGGAGGAGGGAGCAGGCATGACCGGGACTGGGTGGCAGGAAACCCTCTCCAGTCACAGGGGTTTCAGTGCCTTAATAATTCACAGCACAGGCGTATATGGCAGATAAAGCTCTCTTGTCAGCCCTCTTACCTATTGTTTTACAAGGCATTCATTATTTTAATTACTTTATGATAGACAAAGCAAAACACAGACGAAGGGGAGATAATGCCCTTGTTATTATTTGCTTACACTGGATGTTGTGAGCTTAATTATGCACGTGGGAGGCAAGACTGGGGGAGTGGCAGGGACAGCAAGGAGGCTGGAGCTCTACAGAGCCTGATGCCAGCAGGCCAAGTAAGCGCTCTCTAGCTTGGAGGAAAGGCCTCTCCACTTCTGACCTCCCTCTGGCCAAAGCATCCATGCTCTGGAGCAAAGGGAGCAGAGGCCCG